TAGGATGACTTGAGGGTGAGTAATTTATGGGCTAATTTTCATTTTTGTGTGAACTTACTCTTTAAAACTATCATGGATTAATTTAGAGAATCATTGCAAAGTCCCTGTGTGGGCTTGTACATATTCCTAGAAATTTTGACTACTGTTTGTTTGAATATCAGTTCAACTGTGGGGCCATGTAATATTGTTTAAATATAGATTGCGTTCAATCGTCTCTGGTTCTATGTTTCCCATCCCCCTTCCTGCCAGCTCTGTGTCGGTTTGGTTTGTAGTGAAATCTGGGTCATGCCGCATGATGCTGTAAGTCATCTCAAACACACAGTGAGACTGCAGAAGATTCCTGGCGTTCGCGTATGTCACTGTATTCATGTAATCCTGCTGTCTGTTGCGCTGAGATTTAGATAAGAACTTTATTTAACTTTATAAGTTTGTGATTACCCATTGACTGATGCTTAGTGCTTAGTTTTTTTTTATAACTGATATGTATATCAGAAAAAAAATCTAAACCTATTTATCTTTTTCATTCAAATATTGTAAGTTTTTTTTTTTTTTACATTTTATTAATATATTTATTTAAATTATGTATTAAAATAAATTTTATTTTATTTGTTTATGTATTACAATTTCATGAAATAATGTATTTTAATGTTCTTTTTTTTCATTTCTTTTTACATTTAAAGATTTGTAATTTTATTTTATTTTAATAATGCATTAAAATAACATTAAATACATTGTATTACTGTCATATATTTTGTTTTATTTTATGTTTAGATTTTCTTAATTCAATTTCATTTCATTTTTAATAATGTATAAATAATATTAATGTATTTTTTACTATATACTATTTTATTTTATTATTTTTATTACATTTGTAGATTGTATTTTATTTTATGAATGAATTTATTTATTTATACAATTAACATTCAAGTATTTCTTTCTTTCATTAATTACATTTTTAGATGATAATTAAGGTATTATTTAGTAGATTATTCATGTTTTGCTATACATCTGGTCAGCAAAACCTTACACATACACATTTACCTAGCTAAATGAAGACACAGCCTACCATTGATTTTTGTTGCTTTTATACAAAGCGGATACTAATTACTATGGACTTTAATGATAATTTGTTCCCAATACTTAAGAAATGGAAACTTCAGTAGGCAAAATGAGGCCTCACTCTTTAATTAGCGTGTAATTAAATGTCTTTCTCTGTAGAGGATGGTGGTGAGCGTTGGTGTCTGATCTGCGGTGACCGGGCGTCTGGGCTGCACTATGGCATCATTTCCTGTGAGGGCTGTAAGGGCTTCTTCAAACGCAGTATCTGCAACAAGCGCATCTACCGCTGCAACAGAGACAAGAACTGCCAGATGTCCCGCAAGCAACGCAACCGCTGTCAGTACTGCAGACTGCAGAAATGCCTTCAGATGGGAATGAACCGCAAGGGTGAGCGAAACACGGCCACACACACACACACACACACACACACACAGACAGTTGATGATAATTCAAACCAGCAGATTTGGTCCTGATTTAAATCCAGCATGTTTACATACATGGCCATGTTAACATGCAGACCAGTGCTTCAGAAATGCAGTGACAAACCTGTTTAAATCAAGGTTATTATTATTTATGATTCAAATGAAAATTTGAATAAAAATAAAACATTTATTATCTAAAATATAAGTTATGAATTAATAACATATATGAATATTAAAATAATATAATAATGTAATGTATATATAATATGATAATGTAATATAACATTAATTTCAAATTCTAATTTATATATAAGTGAAAATGTTATTTTGTTAAAATCATCATTATCATTGTCTAAAAGAAAATAAAAATAACCATGATTTATTTTTAGTTTAAGTTTTTGATGCTAAAAATAGTATAAGAACTTAAAACTTTAAGACTTGGCTATTAATCAGCTAAAACATCTTTTTTCTTTGGTCTTGTTTTTTTCTTAACCTGTGTTATTCTCCTTTTTTTACACACATCCATTCAGAATTACAATTTCACCCTAATTATGCAGCACATGTCTTTTGTATAAACACAAAAACAAAATGTTCGAGGATTATACACTTTTTATTATTTATTTACCTCTTAACTTGATCCCTCTCGTCTGCTCTTTGATGCTGTTTCATTAGAAGCAGATATCTGATCGTTCTATTATGTAAATGATGAGATATAGATCAGGGTTTGATTGGGCATGCCTGAAGAAAAATGCACAGAAATCAGATAGAAGATCTGGGTTGCAATGCTGATAACAGATTTCTTGATCCACAGCATGATGTCCCTCTCTGTCTGTTTCTTTGGGCAAAACTCTCTGACACACATACACATTAAATAATTTATATTTTCTACACTTTAGCCTACAGCAAACACTGTTGATGTACTTGCCTGCAGTCTGCACCAGAGGGAGCTGTTGGTCTTTATTGCTCTATCAGACACCAACTTCCTCTTCCTTCCCTCTGGCAATATTTGATTTGCAATACTAGCAACCTGCTTTTATACTGTATAATGCATTATATGTAGCTATATGAATGTGGTTGATTTTTTATGTAAAATATATTGTTGGCAATCCCATTGAGAAATCAGTCAAGAAAGAGACATTTAAAAATCTTGGTTAATTAATCAGATTGAACATATAATGACATATTGAGTGAATTGCATTGTTTGGATGTAATATATATGCTGTGCTCTCTTGTATTGTGCACATTTTGGCAAATAATAACAAATCATCCAGGTTTTTAGTACAAAAACGTTATGCACAGTAAATACTTTAGAAAGAGTATTTGTAGTATGGAAGTATGCAGTTCAAAACATAACATTTTTATCTCTCTTTCAGCAATCAGAGAGGACGGGATGCCAGGAGGGAGGAATAAAATGATTGGACCTGTACAGGTAAGACAATTGTGTGTGGTTGTTTTTTCATAGCTATAGTTTGAGGACAAATTAGTCCCCAGAAGTGAGCTAAATCTGACAAAACCTCTTTTATCGAGTGTCCATATTTCATTTGTATGCTTTAAAAATAGTCTTTTTTTTAAATTATGGTATGTCCTTATATATAAAAACTAATATGATTTTGTTAACCTTATGTGTGAAACCTCATATGCTTTTCTCACATGTGTGTGTTTGTGTATATCTATATATCTATATCTATCTATCTATATTATATATATATATATATGTATATATATATATACATACA